TATTATGGACCACTACAGCTGATCTCTTATGCATGCAACAATCAAAGCAACAGAAAGGATTAAAATTATAAGGCATTCGTGTCTGGGCAGTCAGCTGGTGGTATACTTGATGGTAACCCCCGATTGTACGCTATGTGTGCAATATTCTATGAATAATTTCGAATTTCCGCCCCGTAAATAGCAGAGGGGGCCGGGTGCAAGGTCTACTTTAATTATTGTATTAAAAATGCAATAACTCGAGCATCTCATTACATTAAAATCTGTTACAGATTTAAATGGATGTAGTAAATAAGCGCGGATGGATGCAGACATAAAGAGTATTGCTAACAGCCGTGTTTTTGGTTGTAAAGTTTTTAATGACTCGAGGGGTCGCTCGCTACATTGTTACCTGTAACATCCACCTATTACGGTTTTAAAACTGCCGAATTCTTTATAATAAAAATGAAAAATATCGCGAGCATTCTTTCGATTTATTTTAACGAAAATTTAATTAAGCCGTGCTGAAAGCGTACCAATAAATTGTATTAACGCGACTGCATTTATACACACACACACACGATATCGCGAGATTAAGCCGAGATGTTTATCTCAAAATCGAGCAAGTTATAACTTCGTGTTGCGATTAAAACTAAGTACCACACACGAAATGTCCACTTAACAACTTCTTTCGTACACGATCGTTCTCTAATTCAAGAAAAGGCTTATCGCGTAAATTGCAAAAAAATCGCGGGCAGATCTTAGATTCGAACCTACGCCGCCGTCGCGACGTTTACGACGCGAACCGGTACAGTGGTGGAATTTAGTAATCTGATCACAAGACAAAATATAAATGAAAGTGCCACCTACCTATTTAGTCGACCCCGCTTTGCCAATATAAAGTGAAGAACACTCAGAAAATAAAACACTCGCATTAATCTTTGCCTTTTTGTTTATTTTAGTAATTTTGAAATATTAACATTTACATCACACAATTATGCTAAAGCTAAGGATCAGTTTTGAGTTAACGGCGAAAATTTTGATATGCTCGACCGCATGGGGAGCATAGCAAAATTTTCCGGAAATTAAACATTTATTCTATGGTGCAAAAGAAATGGCACAAATCCTATTCTATCTATACAAATTTGAACAACTCAAAAAGCCAGCGAACAGAATAGCTAAATTCCATCACTGTCGTTCACCGGGAACATACCTTTTTTTATATATATTATATGCTTATATAAATATGCTGTATAAATAATGTGCGTCGAATCAAAGAAACAGTTATAAATAATATCGTTAAATAACGTATTTATAATACAATTCTAGTTGAATATTTATTTACAATTACACCTAAACACTATTCGTGCATTTTACTATCATAGTTTTCACAATACGAAACGATATGTTTGATGTAGAATGGGACGAAAGTAATCTACTATAATACAGGGGTAGTGTTGCGGGACGCGAACCAACGTAGCCAACTTGGGTGGCCTCTGGCGCAAAATATCGGCTACTTTGATTCTATAATCGAATTTTACGCACAAATTTTAACGTCATACCCATGCCAGTTTGAAATTGTCATTTTATGAAAAGCGAAAATGGTACAGAAGTGGCAATTTTATAAAATCAACCCGGTCCTAAAAATTCTCATGAAAAGTTGCGCCAATAGATTGTTTCAAGTTAAGTTCAAGGAGAATAGGAATAGGAATACAATTCTGAAATAATAAAAACAAAAGAGCATCAAAAAATATTTTTTTAAATAGAACGGTTACTTTTTTCTGTATGTTCTTAACGAGCTTGAAGTTCTCTTTACATTGATATATCAAATAGGTTATAATTACCTTAGAAATAAGTTACAGTAATGTTTTTAAAACCAATCGCAGTAACTGTGGAAATTTAAACAAAAACAAAAGAGATTTAGCTACTACCTACAAGATATTTCCACTTCTCAAAAAGATCAAAATGAAGCCCTACCAACGTACCGACGGATAAAATCAACCGCGATCGTTTAATCCCTTTCATAATTTGAAGTGATGAAATGAATCATGCTTTACCAGAAACAAGAAAAATGATCGCTACTGGGATGACAAATCCTAGGAAACCATGCATGCACCAAAATATGTATGGCTGGGTGTTGTGAATGATTTTGTTAGGTCCCTATTTTGATGAAAGAACTCCCTAAATGGTTTTAACGATTTGCTGGAAAATGCATCACTAGTTATCCGGCGTGGTATGTGGTTTCAACAAAACGGGGTACCCCCACACAATTCATAAAAATGTTAAAGACATTTTACGTCTGATGTTTAGGAATAATTGGATAGCAAACGGTGGTCTTGTGACCAGATCTTTGCAGCCTGCCATCGCGTAGCTCCTCACATATTATAACTAGTGCGCAGAAATTTATTAAAAAGTTCCCGGCTGGGTATATCCAGAACAATGGGGGACATTTCGAACACCCATTACAATTTGTTTAATTAGCCTTAAGTTGTAATTAGTTATTTCGTGACTGTTTCTCATTTGTTTTTTTCGCTTCCTTTATGCTTTTTTTTCAATTTCCACAGTTACTGCGATAGGTTTTAATCACGTGACCGTAGCTTTAATTTCTAAAGTAATTATAACCTATTTGATATCATTGTAAAGAGAATTTCAAGCTTTTTATGAATACTACAGAAAAAGGAACCCGTTCTATTAAAAAAATGCGCCCTTTTGTTTTTTTGTCACTTGTTTTTTTTTAATATGTAGCTTTATCAGACAGTGAAAGTAGAGTATTATTGCTTCTTACATTTTTTTTCTTAAAAAAAAAAGAAATATACGCTTGGACTCGAAAAATCAATCACACTGTATAGTATACAATCGCTAAACATTTTTGCTCAAACCTTAAAATGTTAAAATGAAAAGATTTGATCAAGTGCCCATAAAGAAATAAAAATTTTAATTTGGATCAACTCTGCGAAGAGAGTGATTCAAAATTAAACTCTTATCTTTTGTTACTGGGGAGTATAGAATACTCCCCGGATCCCCGGTGGTATATTTCCCCTTATTCAGAATAAAAATCACTTTATTAAAGTGATGTTTCTTTAGAAATAGCGGACACCCTCACCCCCAGCCCAAAAAAATGTAACTCATAATTAAGCTACTTTCTTTTGTGACTGGCGGGTTCATGTGAATTCGCTCTCCGAAGACAGTCGCTGAAAATTAAACTACTCTCTTTTGTTGAATATCCCCCAGACTCCCTGGTGGTATATTCCCACTCATTCACAATAAACCTTAAAATATTGAAATGAAAAATATTAATCAAGTGCCTATAATAAAGTAAAAATTTTCATTTTAATCAACTTGACGGAAGTAAACTACTCTCTTTTGTGGCTGGGGGGTATTCCATACCCCCCAGACCCCCCGGTGGCATATTCCCCCTTATTCAGAAATGAAATCACTTTCATTAATTGAAGCAGTATTGATTTAGCATAATGTGATTTTTATTTTTAAATAGGAAGCATATACCACCGGGGGGTCTGGGGGGCATGGAATACCCCCCAGTCAAAAGAGGGTAACTGATAATTAAACTGCTCTCTTTTGTGACTGGCGGGGTCATTTGGATCAGCTCTGTGAAGACAGTCACTCAATATTAAACCACTCTCTTTTGTTGAATATCTCTCATGCCCCTTGGTGGTATATTCCCCCTCATTCAGAATAAACCTTAAAATGTTAAAATGAAAAATAGTGATCAAATGCCTATAATAAAATAAGAATTTTCATTTTAATCAACTTTACGAAATTAAACTACTCTCTTTTGTGGCTGGGGGGTATTCCATACTGATCTGGGGGTCTGGGGAATATACGATCCCCCCTCCATTCAAAAGGAGATCATTCATAATTAAGCCACTCGCTTTTGTGACTGGCGTGTTCACGTGAATCAGGTCTGCGAAGCCAGTCACTCAAAATTAAACTACTCTCTTTTGTTGAATATCCCCCCCCCCTCAGACCGCACGGTAGTATATCACCCCTTATTCAGAATATAAATCTACAGGGGTACAGTTTATTGAAAGTTCTATTGATTTTGCATAACGTTATAGATTATGTTATTGTAAATAAGGGGGCATATACTACCGGGGGGCCTTTTGGTATTGAAAGTAGAGTAGAGTAGAATATTTCTGCTTCTTACACTACTCTCTTTTGTTGCTGGGGGAATAAAAATCTATAGATTATTTTATTGCAAGTACTCGTGGCTATTGGACCCAACGGTGGTATATTCCTCCTTATTCAGAATAAAAATCTATACTTATTGTACAGTTTAATCAAAGTTCTATTGATTTAACATAGCGTTATAAATTACGTTATTGAAAATAAGGGGGCCTATATTCCTAGGTATGTAAAATTCAAAAAGGCTGGCCACCCTAAAAATTGGGATAACGAAGAAATTTCTTCTGAATTCCCAAAGATGCATAACATGGGGAGATATTAATTTTCAAGGAATCGAAGAAGTATATTCCCACCAGTGTGCATCAGTGTACCAACAAGTCAATTAAAATTAACTATGACTAAACGACTAGAGGGCGGTAGTTATTTTTTTGTCCCTTAAGGAGGCTATGCTTCAGAAAAGGTTGGGAATTGAACTGTAATTACAAGTTTTAAATTTAGAGCTCGCCTTTTATCTTCCTCTTGAATTATGAATCTCGGATGAGAATTTTCATTTTAACACTGACTTTCTTAACGTACTGTGGTGGAACTTACTGAATTTATTTGGAGCATAATTGTAACCCTCAAGGCACAAACTTGGCGTATAGTTTAAAGTAAAAATTTGTTACCAATCGTAGTTGAAACTAAATTCTAGTTAAAATACTGATCAATAATTTCAAAATATTATTCAAATGTGACAACATTTTTATTTTATTTATTTATTAAAATTTAAGCGCAACCTCGAATTCGTTAAAATTCAATTTAAATTCAAGTAATTTTTGAGTATGACCCAAAGCAGCATCAAATTTTTATAAAATTAGGGAAAATTACTAGGAGAGCTTGAAATCAAACCTCTTGAAATTAAGTGGAGTAAATTTTCCAGTGCAATAGCATTTTGATAACTTCAATTCGCTACTTATTGTGCGTATGAAACTAAAATTTTAAAGGTATAATGAAAGAATTAAAAAAATTAAGAATATAGAACCAAAAACTTGCGCTTTTTTGAAATACAACTTCATGCTGAACGGTGGCTTTGAAATATTCTATTGGAAGGTCGTTGAATTCAAAAAATATTATTTAAAATTGCCGTCGTATCAATCAGTAAAAAAATTTGCTTTCGACTTTGAGGGTAGTTTTCATTTTCCATTGTAAATATTTCCATAGCTTTTTGGCAATTTTGATTTTAACTGGGCATTGATATTGAATTAAATGATGAAAACTTTTAACATTTTTGAACTTTTTTTCAATCTGTGTACCTATCTAAAGCTAAAACTTTTTTGAGACGTCATTTTATGACCAGCTATAGAGTACCAATCTTGACAACATAACAGAAATTTGAAAATTCAGCAAAAATCTTACATAGGTATCATTTTTTGGGGGGACTTTTAAAACCTATTTTTTTTAATTTGTAAAATTGTAAATTTTAGGATTCATTTACTCTGCGGACTACAGGCATGACGCTAAAATTGTTAAATTTGTGCCGATTGACTGAGCGGTATCTCTTAATTAAACGCGCAACCAAAAGAGAGTTTCTGAAATTGTTTCACAAAAAAGTGGTATAGGCACTGCTGACTGACACTGAGAAAGACTGGCGTTGAACGATAATTATTACGTAGAGAGGGATTACACAAAATCGAAAATAATACTACACAGCATGCTATAAAATACATTACAAAATAAAAAAATATTTTTGGTTGTAACGTTTTTTTTAAAATTTGTACAAAAGTTTATGAGAGCTCCGTCTTGCCTGACTGTACAATTAATAATACTAAAAAAATGTTCAACATTTTTGCGTCGCTGCGAGGTACATGTAGTACTGGGCTAGCGATAATAAATATACCATGTTGCTATTTGTACCTTTCTCGTAGTTGATTTGTCGTTCCTGCTGTCGGGCATTTTCCGCCGCCACCTTCAGGAGACCCTGTATGTTTCTTAACAGCGTTTCGGTCGAGGAAATTGCGGCGTCCTGGCCGGGTCCGTTGACGGACGCCACTGCGCTCGCCAACGTCGAATAATTTAAAGCCGTGTGCTGCGAGTCGCTACCAGGCGCCGTCGGTAAGGGAAGATCGCCGTCGTCCAGGTCTGCAACACAAAAAGATGGAGGTCGTAAGAGGAATTTGCCCGAAATAATGATATAGGAAAAGTGGTCGTTGTGGAGGCATTGTTGCATATTAACTACAGGGGCGTATTAATAAAATACGAATAAAACAGCTGGAAGGAGGTTGTAATTTTCTTTCATGTTATAATTAGACGAGCGCTTCATATAAGTTAATTGCTAAAATATATATAAATTAAAACATTAAGGAAACTGGTAGGTACGCAGTTAACGCAGTAATGTGCGGAAAATATTAGGCATTAAATCATTATTTCCCCTCTTATTACGGGTCAAGCGATATGGATGAATCGTTTTTCTTATATTGAAAAATTGAATTAATTTTGCGGCGGAACGCGATTGCACGTAAGAATTTTGACGGGTTGTTTCCTCGGGACACCGTGCGATATGGTAAAATTGGAGAAATTTGCAATCGAAATAGCCAATTTGGCCGTTTAGCTAATAATAGTCGTGGGTAAGGATAATTGCTGGCGTGAGTCAGTCTACCATTTTGAAATATAGTCTTTGTTTCATATGATTTAGCATGGATGAAGTAAAAGTGTTTTTTGGTAACAAAAATATGGCATAATTAATGTTTCTCTCATCTCTGATTTTGCAACATTATTATTATCAATTGTGACGGATCAATAGTACTTTAAATTTGAGTGGAATTATTTAAGAAACCCCACTTTCACAAAATGGGTTATCTTTCGGCAGTGGTAATTGCAAAACTGCCTATTTGACTATAACCGTTTTTTCAAAATATCTGCAGTAATCGAATTTGTAATTTGCTCTAAAGCTATAAAGCCTACAGAAAAGGCTACCTAGGCGGCAACATTTTTTTTGAAAAGTTGCACGGAGAAAAATGTATGTTAAAGGTAATTGAAAATATAATAATAGCTATCAAAAAATATAATACGTATAGGGATAGCTATGAAGAATTATAAAATGTATCATATACATATTGTTCCAAGTGTATAGCTAGTTTTACTATATTATATTGTTTTAACTCATACAAAAAAACTGTGTGTAACGGCAACCATCTCATATGCATGCTTTTTTTAATACGGGAGTAGTTGAATTAACATTTCCGCTTTGTATTAATAAGTAACTTAGATTATTGCAACTAATATACACACCCTGCCAAAAATCGACTGCACCAAAATTTCTCGGGAATTCTTATTAATAGAATCCAAAACAATTCGTACTTTTCCGATCAGACTTCTCAATCAAAAGTTACAGACTAGAAACCAATTTCGAAAGAAAATTCAAAGGGCTGTAACTTTTGAACTAGTAGCCCAATCTTGGAACTGTTTGAAATTATGGATTCTACAGGCCACATTCTATAAGAACATTTTTTTCCGGGTCGATCTGAGACAATTTTTTTTACGGGGCTCAAAAAAAGGCAGTGTATACCTTCCTTTTTTACCAAAAATCGACTGCACCAAAATTTCTCGGGAAAGCACTTTTTCTTATTAATTTTGGTGCGTAGAATCCAAAACAATTCGTACTTTTTGGATCAGACTTCTCAATCAAAAGTTACAGACTAGAAACCTATTTCGAAAGAAATTTCATAGAGAATTAAAAAAGTGAGGCTGTTAAATTTTAAAAATTCTCTGCAACAAACAATTGCTGAATAAGTTTAAAACAATTGCGTTATTTATTTACTTATTTGACGTTATAAAATGGCAACGACGTCACAAATGACATTCATTTTTTGGTTCGTCAAATTGTAGCTAAGACCGTCTAATTTAACACTATGTTGTCTTATGGCTTAAAAATACAATTAAAGTTGCTTGGGCCCTTTTTATAGAACAGACTGTATGTACACATGTAGATTTTTCGCATTAGAACTAAAAAGAAAGCAACAACTGAACAATCACTTATCCTAACTTTACATTCGCAAAATTTTAACGAAAGCATAGCAACCCTTTGCCGAGATTTTCACATTTTTTCTCAGGTTTTTTTGTAATGCAACCTTACACAATTACAAAAAGGTCTTTACAATAACAAAATTTTGAATTATTTGATACAAAAAATCGTTTAATGATGTTCCGGCGCAGCCAAAATTTGAACAAAACCAGGAGCGTTATCTCAAAAAATTGCCGCACGTACGTAATTTTTCTTTTTTTGTGAGGGTCTCGTCCGTCTGTCTGTCGGTCTGTCCGTATGTTCCTCGTCCAATCGATTTCCAAGGATTTCAAGAATCAGTGCTATTGAATATGAGCCGGATTAAAAGTCTAGTTTCCGAATTCGAGCTGAAAAAAATTCCCCTACTGAAAATCGTATTCGATTCTATTTTTTTAATGCTCCATTTTTTTCGGAGTTCAGCAGTTTTAAGATTTTCGTAACCACTATTTCTGACGCCTAAAATGAATATTGATTTAAATCGTAGGGCCACTTTTATTACCATTCTGTATCCGGTAGTTTTTGAGCTCTTCCCATAAATAGCAAACAAATCAGAAAAGACACAATGTGGACCTTCCAAATAAAACGATTGCTTCCAAAGCCTACTGCACCTAATGAAAAATGAGAATATTTCTTTTAAAAGATGCCAATAACTCAATAACTACCGGATATAGGCATACGCATACAAAATGTCAATAAAAGAGGCCCTAAACTTTAACTCTACATTCATTTCTGGCATCAGAAATAGTAGTTGCAATTTGAAAAACGAAATGTTTGATATTTTCTGACTTTGAAAAATGGAAGCAGCTCTGGAAACTTTTTCAAGATTTTCGGAAAAATTCCTTAGATTCGATTATACGGGGTGTCAATTAAAAAACTTACAGTCTGCCATATTTTCCAAACTAAAGAAAATATTGAAAATCGCACAAAACCGTTTCGGGGGTATCGAGGGGGAACCAGAATGACGTTATGAGTGACAACCCCCCACCCAAGTTCTTGGCCGATTTGCCATAAATCCCTCAATTTCAACATTTAGTTTTTTGCTGTTAATTATTAAATTTTTGTTAAATTGTCTTAAGAAATATTGGCTTTATTGGTACCACTGGAAAGCATTTTTCAGTAGCTTTCCAACGATGCGTCACAAGTATGGGGTTGCAATTTAGGATTTTGGAAGAGGGGGGCTGGGGGATTAAGGGTGGATGGGGGTTCTTACTGATACGTCATTCTGGTTCCCCCTCGATACCCACGAAACGGTTTTCCGCAATTTTCAGTATTGTTTACTTCGGAAAATATGGCCGACTGCAAGTTTTAAAATTGACACCCTGTATAAGAGAACATTAAGCAAAAAATAACAAATCGAATGTTTCTACTTAAAATACGAAGATGGCGCCACTTTTGGGTTTTACGGAAGCGCCATCTTGAAATTATATTATTTCAGTTGGCAATGTTCTATTATGGCTGTAAATCAAATTTCAAGTTTCTATTTTAGTTTAATAGTTAATAGTTATTGTACAACTAGTTTTGTAAGTGATACTTTTTTTCATGAATTTGCAGTTTGATTAATGAGGGCGAGTAATTCTGAAAAAATTAAGCAAAATCAAGACTTCAGTTGAGGAAAAAGTTAAAAGAGAAATGCAATTTTTTTGTTATACAGGGTGGTCTGATCCATTTCATAGCTCAGGAGCTTAAAACTGTTGAACAAATAGCGCAGGGATTACTAATATTGTTGTTGTCTATTGAATGACTTGAAAATTGGGTCCCCCAATCCCCACTTTTGAGATGTACGGGCGCAACTTTGTAATTTCAAATGGGATCTCAAATTTTTTATTCCTTGGTTATTTGTTAAAATTTTTCTTATAAAACGGTGGACGCCCTGTATATTGACCAAGTCGAATTTTTTTCCAAATTAGATGTGTATTGTGAGAAAACGGTACAAGTTATTTATTATTAGCCATTACTAGCCATACATTTTTCCCATCTCTCGTGGAATTTGTGGATGCCTCGCCAAAAAATTCTTCATTTCTGCCAAACTCGTCATTGAGCCATTTTTTCACTGTCGTAAGAACTCGACCAGTGTTGCCGATAACGGTCTCCAGTAATTGTTTTGTCCGGTTTTACTAGCTCATCTTAAATGATCACATGATCTTTTTCGCGTAGAATTCTCGAAATAGATCCACTTTCCACCGCCTACCACTATTCCACGCAAAAAAAAACTTTCTTTTGTACCTTTCACAAGTGGTTCTTTGGTGTTTTTTTTTTGCTTCGGTTCAGTGAGTTCTTCTGGAACCCATGGTTTGAAACCCTTTTGTGATGGTCAACCGCGTTTCTCGTTTTTCACGTCAAAATCTTCGCTTTTCAATTTTTTTTAACAACTGACAACATTGCGTTAGGTCAAGAACATGTTCTCAGAAGCTTTTACAAGCAATCGATGCGATTCGGAGGCATTTTTCTTCAGGAAAAAGCAAAACATCGAGTTGGATATTATCGACAGATGTCAAAATAATAAATAAACACCATTTATTTGTAACTGGGACTATATACCTATTGGGAATTTTCATATTTGTCTACCTATGTATATTACATCCTGTATATATAAGAGTTTAAATTAACAGTGTGCAATTGTTTTTCGAAATAAAAGAAATACGATGAAATAGACACTTAGAAATGAATCTAATAGCACAATACACACTGAAAAGATCATTAACTACTTTTGTGTTTTGTTTCAGAACCTGGATCTGCCGTGAGCGACCAATCATGGGTAAGTGAATTACATTTATTATTATGATGTCCATTTGTGTTTACGATGCACTTATTTGTTTGCATCTTTTACAGTACATAAACGGTTGATAATTTCTCTCCTGCGGTAGCAAAATTCATATTATATTCTTATTTGAAGATTATGTTAGCACTTGTACCATAGATTAATTTTAATCTATGCTCGTACCAATAAGTGGAGCTAAATTCACATTAGCTAAACCCCTGGCTAAACCTAAAATCTATTGGAAAAAGATCTCGCCGTAGTAAAACTGATATTAAAGGGAGTGTCACAAGGTCACACTTGAGGGCCTGTGGTTTTTGAATGGAAGTTCGGTACAAATGCAACATTTTTATTTAATATTCTCCAGCAATCGAGAATTGTGGCGCAATTAAAAAAAATTGCAATTTGGTTACACGGTTATTTGTAATCATCGTTGGGGATATTCGAAATCAAATCATAATCGCAGTTTGCAATTAATTAAAATTAATAAGTTAATTACGGGCGTTATTGCTCCTAGAAACCACTTCAAAAATAGTGAGCGGCATCTTAATTACCATACAGCGTTGACCAATAACGCGAACGTTGTAGCTGTAATTAAAGAAACGCGGGAATGTTTAATTATTTATAGATATGTTAATTAGAATCCGACGTGTATAGTACTGGAGGTCTTTTTCTTTTCAATTATTAAGTCGTCAAAACGAAGCGTGTCAGAGTACCATCTATCTCGTGCCCTCTACCGTCGCGCATTAAAATTCCGCCATCGAATCTTTTTCTCATCGTCTTAAAACAAACAAATTAGCCCCGCATATTTCTTGTCGAGTAAAAACAAGGTAAAACCAACACGCATCGGCAATCAAATATGATTTATACGATGTTAATGTTAACTTATATCATTTCGATGCACGATTACAATAAGAGACCCTCTCGCCCGAAGAGAAAAACCTGTTGACAACCGCTCCAAAGTTAATCGACGCAACAGTCCATAAAGCGAATTTTCGAATTGTAACTCGATTCCCTATTTGTGCAATCAAAAATATTTATGAATGCTGGACTGGTTTTCTTCAGTTGGCTAAGCACACGCATATTCTGAAGAAAAAAATGAGGAAAAAACCTTGAGGTTGCAGCATTGACTAGACTTTGTCCAGACGTGGCTGTAAAATTTTAATTTTAACTCACGCAATTTACCGTTGACTAGGATTTACTAGAAGTCGCCTTTAGCGGTCTTAAAGTGGATTTACACAAAATTTTATTATCCTCTCAGTGGAAATTCCACCTTTTACGGTCAATGTCGAATGCAGATGGCGCTTGCGGTTAATCTTGCTGTTTATTATTAGTTTTTTTACTGTCTTGACTTTACTTTTTTATGAGGGAAAGTAGTATATTACGGGAATATAAGGTGCATCCGAGCATTTTTTTTACAATAATGGTAGAATTTAGTTTCGATCAGGAAAAGTGCGAACTTTTAGTCCTAGGAGAAAAAGTGTTTTGCTAATGTCATTATTCATACAAAAATGAGTGTTAGATGGCGCTTCGTACGGAACACAAAGATTAATTTGAAGCGCTTATTTTAAGTTGATTGGATTTTTTTCTACCGTCCAATGCCTCCAATAAGAAATTACAAAGTAATGTTGTAAGAGGTCAAGATGAGTCACTTGCATCATTAATACAGTACGTCAAAAAGACCAACCATGTAAACTAACGATTAATGACTAATATTTAAACCTTAATTATAATTTTTTCTCCCATACCTTGATCCTTCTCATCGTCATCGTCCGGATCGGAGATGTTATCGTCGTCGTCGTCGTCCGGAACGGAATGCGTCGGCGAGTGCGGCGAGGGCGGTACGTCCGGTTCGCTACCGGAATGGTCGCCGTCGACCGGCGATCCTGCGCTGCCGCCGCTCGCGTTTTTCGATAAATTTAATACTGGACTCGTATTTGGTGAACCTGCAATAATAAAAAAAGGATTTAATTAATGGTTGTAAACTTGCGATTCAAAGTTTTAGGACGCGATCTCGTACGCCATAAATTACAGAAGGGAAACGCAATTAAACACACATAGCAGAGTAGCATATGCAGAAATTGAAACGAGTCCAAATAAAGCTCCGATATAAATTACGTCCCCGATTCTTCTCAATTGACCTATCTGTCTAAATCCTTCGGATTTAACTCGACGCATTTATTTTATTGCCTTTCACTTGTACGACATTAATTAACTTGCCACCCAGATTCGGGTCCTTCGAATCTTGTTTTAATATCATTGTAAGAGGCAAGTATTATGTTTTTTCGCACGGAAACTGTCCTTTGCTAAGGTTCAATTGTGATTGGTTCCTTTGATGACTATTTAACAAAAGAAGTAGGCGAAGAAGCCATAACAAACATTTTTTTAATTCAGGGTAGCAGTTCAAACTATAACTCGAAATTCGGTTACTTAAAAACCAGTTAAATATTGTAAACCCCCTGCAATGTCGTGTACTTATTTGTGTTCTAGCCAAAATCAAAGGAAACATTGCGTTTTTTTGGAAATACGTTACAAACAACTTAAACAATATAATATTTCATTTAAAATAGGGCATGAAAATTGTAAGATATTGCATATGATTTATGAATGAAAGTGTTGAGAATTCAAAGAACTCAAAGATATGTAGGTATGTTAAAGATAGTTTGATTTTGTGTTCAAACCTTTGAATAAAAACAGAACATTGATGAACCAGATGTCAAATATACAGTGTGTTTCCGGATTGTCTTCACCATACGTGTAATTGATCAAAAATGTTTGAATCTCGTTTTGATGTTTTGGAATCCCGGCCTGCTTGATCTGAAAAAACTTTGAAGCACGTTTTTACTTTTTAAAATCCAAGATGGCCATGACAATTGAGAAAAAGAGAATTTTATTTTGAGATAAAGTGCCATTTCGGTCAATAATACGGCAAACTGTTATTAAGAAATGTTGTTTAGAATATGAAATGAAATTTTATAAATATTGGAGCACTTTGATTAAATCAATTGATTTCAAACAAATTGTTTTAGATATAACTTGACAGGTAATATAATTCATTTGTTTTATTTACTCAGAATGCTGGTTTCTGTCGTTGCTATGCAAAACTATAAATCAAACACTGATCTGTACCTCCGATATCTCGGTAGAGCGGTGAACTGTAGTTGTATGGGCTGTGATCTGTCATCCATAGGTCGGTGGTTCAAATCCGGCTCGAAGGATTCACTTTTTACATTTCCTTATCTTGTTCATTTCACTGATATGATTATCACTAATTGGCGTTGTCATTATCACCTTCGATAGCTCAGTTGGTAGAGCGGTGGACTGTAGATGCAATATCAAATGGTAATCCATAGGTCGCTGGTTCAAATCCGGCTCGAAGGATCCATTTTTTGTTTGTTTAATTAAAACGGTTATACTACAATATTCTAGTTCCTCTACTCACTACTTACTTACTACTATGGGTTTTATATACAGGGTGGTGGCTTGCGTAACGCATCGTAGGGATTTCACTGTAAAATTCACCACATGCGATTATTGACTCCCCAAATTATTTTATTTTATTAAGGTTTTTTTGTAGAAAAAATTTGTTTACGTCAATCAACCGTATTAGTTTTCAATTTTTTGCATAATAAAGACGGAAAATTGGAAAAATAAAACCCCCATCTTTTTCAATAATCTGGGATGCCATGGAATTTTATAATACAAAAACTACGCCCATATCCGTCATGCCATGGAATGTCTGCTTTAAAACAAATCAAATTCTATCAAAAAGTATTATATTTAAAACAGCGAATTCAACATAAAGAAAGACCAAATTACTAAAAACGGTTTCCTAATATAACAATTTACAATAAATGTTCGAATAAGTTACCATTAACTGCAAGACAGTAACCAAGTCGATCATAAAATCCATTTCGAACTGCTGCTAATTGATAACTGGATATCTTTTTGTTTTAGAAAATTCCATGGCATCGCAGATTATTGAAAAAGATGCGGGTTTTATTTTTCCAATTTTCCGTCTTTATATGAAAAATATTGATTGGCGTAAAAAAAAATTTTTCTACAGAAAACCTTAATACATTTTTGCTCTAAAATAATTTGGGGAGCCAATAATCGCATGTTATGAATTTTACATTGAAATGATGCGTTACGCAATTCACCACCCTGTATATTCAATACACTGACAAGCATATATACCATGAATATCCGTTCTAATATGCAAAGATGTTCCATAGAGATTCCTCTAATCATAGAGAAGTTTCCTAATACGTCATGTAGATTTTATCCATGCTCCTAAAATAAATTCTTTGTGCTGAGTGCAGTTTTCTGTATCTTAAGCGTCTGGTACTTTGTATACAGGGTGTTTGTTAAACATGCCCCAAAAATTAAAGATATCATTTCTTGGCCTATTTTAAGCATATGTTATCCTTTGATGATTTTTGAAAAAGTGCTTTGTTACAAAAATACAAGGCCAAAAAATAGGACTACCGACTAAAAATTACATGAATCATTTCGGTTATAGGAAATCATTCAACGTACAGTCGCCTAGCTTGCAATGAATTGCTCTGAGCAAGTCCATAAATCACTTGCATGTCAGTCACCTCTGCATTCGTATAGTGAGCCATGATAGAGAACGACAGAAATTTCATGCAAGATAGCCAAACGTCAAAATGACAAAAATAAAAAGCAAAAAAACAAACAAAATTATCAACCAAAAGGAATCGTGTAATATTGCTAAGATAACAAGTCCGATTTTTTCGGCCTGTATCTTCGCAACAAAGCGCTTTTTCAAAAATCCTCAAAGGATAATCCTTAGAATAGTCCAAGGAATAACCTCTTTAATTATTGTCGAATGTTTAACAAACACCCTGTATAATGGAAATAACAATTTTCAGTTTTCACAAGGTATTAGTAATATGACATTCATGTGAATAAAATGTAATCCAAAGCCGTTTGATTCAAGCATTGCTTTGTTTTGTCTGAAGGTTCATTTGCTCTCTGGATGCATGTACTTCTGCGATTTCAACAAAATTTTCCTACAGATTTAATATCTTTGAGATGACCCTATCTTGTGCCACTGATTAAATATTTGTACAGTAAGAATAAAGGCCACCTCTCCCATACATTATTTTCCGGAGTGAAATTCCCTGAGTATGTCTAGGGCTATGCGTATTTCCATTGACTTTAACACAAAAATGAATGCTACTTCTATAGCAATAATTCCATGGCTTGCTCGAAATTATTTAACATTTTTCGTTTATTCGCATAGTCACCATCAACACGGCCATGGAATTGTTGCCATAAGAAGTACATTGTAAACTTCTAGGCAAAAATTCAAGATACATTTTTAAAGTTGGTATCGCCGATTTTGTAATTTTTTCTCATTCGAATGACGTAAAAATCCAATATGGCGCCCGTAAGAAATAAGAAAGTTGATGTGATTTACTCAACACCTACAAGTGATAAAAATGGTATTTTAGTACCATCAGAAAGCTGAGACAAAATTACTAAGGGTTTGTTAAAATTATTTTTTGATATCTTTTTTCAAAAATAGTTCTTTGGCCATAACTACACTATTTGTGGAGCTACAAGAAAATAGTTCTGCCCATTTAAGCGACCTTCTGTCTCTTACGGTTTACGAGACCCCCACAGTGGAAATGAAAAAAAAAGCTCACCCTCTATATAAATAAAAATGTTTTTTCACTACTAGCGTCTGATGACATGATTATTAACCTTTTTTCCACTTGTAAAGTAGGCTTTCTCGGCATTTGTTCAAAGTGGTTAATAATATGGACATTATTAACTAGTAGTCAATAATGAGAACTGTCACGCTGTCACTTTTAGAAAACACAACCCCAAATTTCGCTCAATAAACGTTTGGACAAGTTCTGTAAAATGAATAATTGCCACCATCCGCCATTTCCAGAGAAATTACATACCTAAAATTATCACATTTTGAAAAAATTCGAACAAAATTACTCTTTGAAAATATCTCAATGACAGAACAAAATACGGACTGTTTGACTTGTACTTCCACACACTTGATTGACATGTGTTATATTAATAAACAAAAATTTCTGTCCAACCGTTCACTTTCATATCAATATATTATGTTAATTTAGAGGACTTCAAGTGCTAGTAGTCAAAAAAATAGTATATATACCACGGTAGAGAAGTCTATTATTGCCTTCGCACCTTACACCCCTCGGCGCAAGCGCCTCGAGATGTAATCTTGGTGCTCAGGCAATAATACTGTACTTCTCTACCTTGATATATAATGTACTATTGTATGTATGTCTGTCTCTTATGCCTATCTAAATTGTTCATCCGATTGCGATGAAACATTGAGGAATGGTTGGACGTATGCCCGCGAAAGTTTCTGAGTTACTAAAACATATCCCGAAATTCCCACGGGAACAGGGGAAAAATGGAATTTCCCACGAACGCGAGAGGTACAAAATTCGCCTACAATATTTCTTGTTAACTGTTGTAACAGGTCGTTTTCAAATATTTAGTTTTGAATGCGTATTTTGGTCAACATAGGGAAATTTCCACATGTACCGCTTCATAGCGAGCGTGAACCAGAAACGTATTGCGGAAAGCGTGAGCGCAGTTGCAACCTAAAAGTTTCGTTCCGCTAAAAGTTTCGTTCCGTTCTTGTTTTAAAACCAAGCACGTGACGGAAATACGGGTTTTCTATTGGTAGAGCACGCCACTGGAGGTCATTTGCGTTCAGAAATAAGTACTTTTTCGATTTTTCTGGTGGGCGAGTTTCAAATAGCGAAAGAAGGGAGAGCAAGGGAGATTCTTGCTTGAGTTCACGAGTCGAAACTATTTGGGTGCGTTAAAATTAAAAAAGGGATTTTCGAGTAATCACGTACATTCCTTGTGCGTTAATTTGAATAATTTTAAGTGCGTTGAAGTTATAAAAGCATGCGCGTACCACTTTTGTGTACGAGTGATTTATGTGAGATTCGCGATCGAAATTCAAGAACCAAAACGTGCATTTATTGAGTGAAATTTACCAGAGTAGTAGTAATGAATTAACAGTTTAACTTCGGGTAAAAATATATTAAGTACCGAGAACTCTGAAAGGGGGAATAAATCGGAGAAAAGCTAGCAAATTCAGGCTTGCGGCGAATGGGGAGTTACCTATAATTTTATACATATGCGAATAGGCGAATTAAAGTAAATTCTGGGACGAAGAAAAACTTTGTAGCAGCTGAATTCGTACAAAGGCCGTTTATTTACGAGTGATAAAATTTACGCGAAGGAACATTTTCGAGTCGAAAAAATCCAAAACGGGAGTAAATAAAATTACATTAAAACTCATTGCGATAAACAACAGGTTCTTTCGGATCGCTGACAGTAACGGCTGGTTAAAAGCAGACTTCTCAAAGTGAAGGTATACGGCAGGGAATTTAAAGACAATTAATCGGTCTATTTTTCCTGCAACAAGACCTAGTTAATAAATTGGGCGTAATTACTTGGGCGTAATTACTATCGACACAACGGAACATTTGCAATTTTGAATCAAATATTTTTATTAATGAGTTCTGGCCCCATCTTTCAGTTTTTAAAACGTTGCCTACGTTAAGTAAAATAATTAAAAATTCAAAAACGAAGACCTGCTAGGAGAAAAGGGAGATGAATCCCAGTAAATGCTACATTTATTCCTTCAAACCTTCAACGAATTGGTGCCGCGTTACCACAAGAGTTCCGGTCCCAGTGGAGTCCTACATTTTGAAGTGAGTTCAAGTACCCAAAATAGCAAGTATGGAAATGGAAAGGCTGACAACGGAGCAGTTCGATCTCGCAAAAGCCGTGGAGAGATCCTTATCCAACCTGAAGAAAGAAGCTGGGAGGATCCTACGAGCATCTTCGGAAGCTAAGGGTCCTGTCATCAAAGAAAAAGGAGTAAGCGCATTGGGCTACCTTCAACCAACGACGCTCACAGATCATAGTCCTGCCACAAGGGCCAGAACATGATTACTTCGCCAAGAAGTCGTATAAGCAAACCCATGAATTGGGCATAGACTACAATGAATACCTCATCGCAACGGCAGCTGCGGCGAGCCGAACGAGACAACATCTCAAGTGGAGACAGCGTTGGAAACAACACCCGACCGCAAACATGCCGCCACTTAGCGGTAACGACACCTGGAGGGCGAGGTCCCCTACCCAGCCTGAGTGACACTTACCCACAACACTGCAAAAGAAGAATCATAGTATCGCTTTGTGAGAAGGAATCACGAGAGGAAAAGGAATACGGAAGGGTTCCTCTCCCGCGGATACAGATCCCACAATTTTAGGGCGACTACGCGACATGCCCTGCTCCACGAAATGGTACACTCCAACGAGAGGTTAACCGACGTGGAAAACAAATCTAAGAAGTGTGGCCAGCAAACTACTACAGCACCTGCCGCCTAAAAGAAGAATCCCAGGATTTAGGTGGACACAAAGAAAAAGGCAAAAAAGGACTTCGAATCCAGTTACAAATCCTTCGTGAGAGAGTATGAAGAGCTTTGAACATATGGTACGTGGTACCTCGGAATGCAGAATGGAAAACCAATTTCAAGGAACTCCACCCTGGCCGAGGATCTACAGCAAAAGGGGATCATGGATCTTCGGCCAGAAGACGCGTACAATGGGTGCGGATCCAAAATGCCTTCTGATTCAAAGTAGATCCACCCCCGGAGAATACACCTGCCAGACGAAGGGTCGTATTCCAGATCGCAACATTATATGACCCACTAGGCTGGCTAGACCTCATGGTTCATCCAGGAACTTTGGACGGAAGTCATTGACTTGAATGAGAAACCAGCACGGTTAGATCTCCAAGTAGAACAGATCGAAATCCCAAGATGGATCCACTACGACGGAAAGTATGCATAGAGCTTTGTGCTTCCTGTGACCCCTCAGAATGGACCTACGGCACTGTAATATACAACCGAGTCCTGCGTGCAAATGGGCAAATAAAAACATTGATCACACTGAAAAAGACCTGGAACTCTGTAGAGCAGTACTGGTTACCAAGCTGTCAACAAGAACAAAAAAAAACCTCAAACTAGGAAACATTCGCATGGTGAGACTCCATGACTGTATTAGCATGGATCAAGGGTAGTCCCGAAAACTACAAAAATTTCATGGGAATAAAATTAGTGAAATTCACCCCGTGGCCGACAAAACCAGGGCTGAATTTACCACTAGGCCCACAAGTCTCGGGCCTAGGAGCGCATCGTTCCAAGGGGTGCACAGTTGCCAAACGAATTTAATTTTTTTTAAATTAAAAATGCAGACTTGTAATTTAAGCTCAACAAAAGAGTCCCATCTATGGTTGCGTGTCTATAGAAATCATTTTTGAATGTACAGCGTGTCCCCTTTTTACGGTATCAATAGACAACTGATTTTTTAAATAGAACACTGCATATTTTTTGTTGTTTCGATGTCAATTGTTAATTTCTACATTGAAACTCATTCGCCTCTTGATTTTTTTATCAATATTGCCTTCTTTTTAATTTTTTTCCGAATAAATATTTTGAAGTTAAAAAATAAAATTTGAGCAATAATGTTAATTCGAGTAAAAGGCAACGCTTTGATAATGAGAAAGATTTAGTGATACAGGGTGTTCACAATGAAATGGTAAAAGTGCTATCACTATTTTTTTTTCAAATGGAATTTCGCTATTCGGTAGTTTTTGTGTTCTCGTCAATTTTTATAAGAACTTCCTATGTCCTTCCTAAAACCCCCTAGTTTATAGGTTATTCAATATTTCTCACAAAAATACCTATCAATTAATTAATTACGGGCGGCAATTTTTTTCGGGCCTAGGGGGACATAGGCAGTAAACCCGGCCCTGGACAAAATCATCTGTTAGAGGATAATCCAGCCGACCTGATTTTTCGAGGCACAACTGTGAACCAGCTCCGGAGAAGTTTTCGAAAGATTTTATCCAAATAGTTATTTTTGGAATCACTTTATACAGGGTGTTTCTAGTCAAAATGGATAACGCAATATGGGTTATAAAACTCTCCAAAACTAATACTTTTTGAAAGTAATCCTTTGAAATCCGACTACAACTAATGGCGGTCTAAAATAACCAAAAAAAGGTCCATAATTCGGAAACAAAGCCAAAATGAAAACAATTTACTTTAAAAAGTGTTAGTTTTGGCTAGTTTTATAGTAGAAACACCCTGTATAATTAACATTACTGTTACAACATTCCTAGTGTTAATTGACCTAATTTCCTCCAAAACACCAGAGTTCTATGTTTTATTATTGCACAGAGATTAATCCAGCTCAGTCTGGGTATGTGGGTTACAAAGACTCCCTTTCATCTATTGATTTTTTGGTCGGATTAATTAATGTTAAAAAAATGTTCTTACCGCCACGTGAACTGATCTCCCTCGCTTTCTGATCTAAGGGTAAAGGTCTATCCGGATCCCCTCTATCTTCTCGTAACCTGCAACAGAATCACAAATGTAAATTACTCGCATTTAGACTATTAAAAACGCGGAAATGAAATTGATTTCGAGAAACATCTGCCAGGTCTCGGGCGGTTATTCGAAGCCCGCCCCTCCCCTAAACCATAAACAAAAATTATACAAATCGCCAAAATTGCAATTATAAAAATACATCTGTTTTAATTAGAACATTGGCAATAAGTCGCGAGGGGTGAAGTTTCAGGTTTAGGAGTCCCTTGTTAATGGCGTTCTCAACAGGGGGTTGCTTCATTACGGGGCTGCATCTACGTCTGTTAATGTAATATCGGATGAATCTTACCTAAAGCTTATAAAATCTAATGAGAAATGCTAAAAGATGATGCGGAATTGCTAATTAAGACTAATGTGGGGGTACTTTAATAATTCACGTTTCGAAAATTCCGCGCCGCCGTTTCTAACTGGTAAAGAAAAAAAGGTGCGTGCCATAAATTATCAGGTCATAAAAAGAAGCTCTAAACATTATTGCCTCGTCAAATAAAACAATGCATATGAGGCCTATGTGTATACAGCAACAACACATATAACAAAAGTTCTTGAGGTACGGCCGCCACCCTTCAAGTTTCAGGTTTCGCCCACTGACAGCAAAGAAATAACAGGTCTGTTTATGACTTTTCATATATTCTTCGTTATGCTCACGCAATGTTTTTCAATTTTAAAGCGAAGTTCACAGCTGCAGACTTGACTAAGTACCTAATAAAAGATCTCTCCCATCTTCTCTAATTTGCGCACACGATACCGTTTTGTTTTATTATATCCTTATACGTTAGCATTTGAACAAATCAAGCAACCCGAGCGCCCCCATCCCACAACGTCGGCCTCGCATCCGCCCCCCATTTCCACTTTGAATGCATAAAGTTTAAGGTTTTTAGCGTTACGAATTGTCTCGCTTTTTAAGTAAATCAGATTTTAAAGTTAAACACCTGTGCGCGCTTTTCCGTATAATTTTCCATTTTCCCTTCAAAATTACAGCTATACATTGTCTTTTCGGTACCGAAAGCACCACCCCAATTGAGTGTTCTTAATGTTTGAAATGCTCTCAGCTTATAATACAGACTTCGCATTACTTTTTAAATATTCAAGCCCAAAGTCAGGACGTCTCTAAAAGCATTTGGCCATTAAAAAATTAAGCAGTGGCTTGCAGTATTATATTATTATTACTTTATGGATACTTTGCTGCGCACTAAATGGGGAGGAAATCGGTATATTAGTGGAAGAAGGCACGGGACGTAAGATGAAAATCGAATGAAAAGTTTCGAGCAGAAGAAATGGAATTATGGGACTTAGCGCGACCGAGTGATTTACGCGGTTTTTCTGGGAAGCTCCTCGTCGAGAAATATAATCTCGCTTGAGCCCTTATAGGTCGCAATAAAATTGCTCATTTCATTAGTAGACTTCACATACGTTTTTTTTACGTTGTCGTTTCAGCGATGATCGTGATTGTTAATGGACTGTTAAAAGTGTGGTCTCGTTCATCAAAAGACGGCTTTTTCCTTCAAATTTAGTTTTGAGTGGTTTCGGTTAGTGTGCTGAAAGGGATGAAGACTAAAATGCATCGCTTCAAAAATATCATTATTAATGTTTCTTTTTGAGTAAAACGTATAACGTAAAATCAATTCTAATCAGTTAATCGGGTGTTGATTAATTTTTAATCGCCATCGATTTTTTAACGAATTAGTTATTTGTGTAAAATAAATGGTTAGCCAAGAACCATTTGAAAAATAACCTACGTCAATTATTCGTAATTGCGAATTGCGGGACCATTTATTCATCACATTCAAAGTTAATTGACTCACTTATACAATTTATTAACACTTCGCTTTTTTCTGTATGTTGCATTGAAATGAATAAAAGGATAGACAAACAAAAAGGCTAAAAGTCATAAATTATTGCGCCCAATTTAAAAGCTCTTTTGAGACTTCTTTCAAACAAAGCGCCTAAATTAGCAGCAGTTAAAAATGTTACTTTCTGTAGAAAGACTCAAAAACAAGTAGCAAAGTTGGTCTGAATTTTCAATTAAAAAAATAAGAGCTCAACTGTTCTCTGAATTAACGGGTTAGGGAGCTATAAATCATTTTTTGATATCCCGCTAGTTTCCACAATAATCGATTGTCTTAAGATAAATGGGACACCCTGTATGTAGATTAATTAAGTGACATTGAATGAAATATAAGATTACGGAACTGGTAGTCGCAGCTCACAAAAGAAATTACCACTACCCCAACTCGTCTCGCTTATGCAGTTAAACTCCTCTGAAACTGATATCTATTCTAAGCTAAAAATGCTTGTTTCAAACCTATGGTATGTAACCGTTCTTTATTTTTGTTTGTTCCAAATTCCATTGTTATACTCGGACCAAAACAAAGTTGACCCCTTATTAATTTTTTTAATTTTCGCGTTGTTGTGTTACGACTTTTTTTAACTTTTGTTTGTGTTTATTATTAATACTTCATCTATTTGTGGAAAAAAATCTTTTTATTTAAATAACGCTTTGATCCCCCTCTACCGCCCAATTATTTTTAACTAAATTATCGGACTTGTGCGCTGCATCCTTCATTACCAACTCGAAGTTAAACTTTTTAGTATTGCTCAAAAATATGGATTTGTTGTTTTCTCGGGAGAAACACTTTTTATTTTTTAATGTATCAGGACACCCAATGAGACAGTTGCTCGGCTATATCTTGGGAACCGTTCCTCGTATGAATTAGGGGTAAAAAAAAGTAATGAGTAAATCGGTCATGAAGAATCGCTGGAAAATATTTTCAAGTTCTAAAAATGACCACCTGAGGGCGTAACTACCATCTTTAATTTTAAAATTGCATTTTCTTTAAATTTCGCATAATAAACTAAACATTTTTTCACATTTTTGAAGAGAACCAGTTTATCTATCATTTTCATAAAAAAATTGAACTGAAGATGGTGTGGGGCGTTCAATTGTTTTTGTAATTACCTGCTTTAACTTCTTAACGGTTTGACCGATTTGAACAAATTTGGTATCGTTGAAAAGGTCATTCCTTGGGTAATAAGAAATATAGTAAGTTTAGTGGAATCCTTCTCCGCCAGGGGGCTAGTTTTGACACCATGACCCAAAATCATAAAAAAATCAAAAAAATCAAACGGAAAAATTACATCCAAAGAGGCCAGTGTAAACCGTTTTTCAAAATCTCGTTCCTGACCTCAAATATTGGGAAGATGAGTCATACGACGAACGTTCCCCGAGATATGGCCGATGAACAGTCTTATTGGGTCACCCGGTACAAAAAAAACACATTAAAATACTCGAGCGCGTCTGATATTGTTAGTTTATATGTCCCACGTGTCTCTGATATTCAGTCTTATTCTCGTGGCATTTGTTAGTTTAGCAAATTTGCTACGTTTAAGTTTAAGTCGCGTTTAACAAAGTGTTAAGTCGTTTTGTTCGTTTGCAATTCTGGTGGCACTTTGCTAGAAGCGAGTTAACAAGTAAGGGCGTGGCTACGGTTTTGCTACGCCATACCGCATGAATGTAGCCGTTTCTTGTCAGTATTCCGAAAAGACGCACAAATACTTCGAAAAACATTTTCTTTTTGAAAGAACTCCAAGAAATTGCAGCAGCTCTGAATAAATTAACTAACTGCTGTTCTCAACGACATAGTAGCTGCGATTTGGAGCCAAAATAGTTTAATTCGCCTAAAATATTTTTGTAAATTTTTAAATTTTTTAGTTATCGTTACTATTATTCTTCACGCTTACCTATACTCTTATCTCGTTTGATATATTTTATGAGTTTATTTTATTTTATTAACTTGTTCTTTTCCGGACTTTCATTTCTTAATTCAAGATAAAACAACTCGCCAGCAATATCAGGAATATCTGCATTTCTGCAAAAAAAAAAGCGGGTGTTTGAGGCAAATATTAAGAAAGATGTTCCTTCCAAAAATGATTTGTAGGAAGCACTCGCCTTGGACCTCAATAAGCTCGATGGTACATAGAGATTGGTGCTAACCTTCGTCCCTATCCATGACTCATGAGCATTTGAAGTATTTCTTCGTAGCAAAACAATTTGACGAAAAATTAAGCACACGGGATATTCGGCATGGATATTTCCAGAATATACCTATTCACAGTGGTTTTAGTATTCGCGAAACAATTTGCACCAAAACTGGGCATCGCAGAAGAGAAGTGCATTCGAAATTAGCACATTAGGCAGACAGTTTCGACTCTTCGTATCTAAGCAACCACAAGTTTGTGGTTGTCTAAAACGGGCGATCAAAAATGACTTGCTGTCGAGTCACCTTTGGAAGTTTAACTTAAGTACGATTTCCCATGTAAACAAAAATTCCAAAGGTCACTCGACAGCAACTCATTTTTGATCGCATGGTACCTTAATAGGTAAAATCAGAAGCGATACAATTTTAACACATTTTTAACCGCGGTAAAATGTTGACGTTTGCGAATTAATTGTTGAAGTATGGACATGTAACCATATCAATTCTAATTCTTTTACTACACGCAGGAAATAATCTGTAAAATATCGTGATCTGTAGCCGTTGCGAGGCCTCGCTCCCTGAGTTAATCCGTACAAGTGTGAGTTATTTCACGTTAACAAAGTGCCAACGCCAATTCAGAAATGGCGTAAGAATCGTAGCAATTTTGCTAGGCATCTTGTTACGCTACCAAACAAAACGGCTACCAGAATACCAATTTGTTAGACGTAGCAAATTTGCTCAGTTAACAAACAAAACGCTTAACAAGTGGCACGAGAATAAACCCGATTGGAGGTATAATAATCTGCCGGTTTGTATGGTGGGGGAGGCTGTACGGATGATCTCAGTTAACTGCTGAACGCACTGGACTTTATTGGCAATTTGCTCCACTTTGGCGTGTGGAAATCGGCAGATTATATTACTTCTGTTATTCGAAATTAAAAAAATGGCAATGTGCTCGAGAATATCAAGGTAACGTTTTTTTCTTTGCAAGTTTG